AAAAACAAAGCAATCTGAGTGACCAGAAGCCGTCTTAAGCACCCAGGCAGCAACCGGAGCCACCGCAGTCCCTGAGATCGGGAGTTCCAGAGCCCCCAGCAGGAGATATGGGACTTTGGGGCCTGCGGCCTATGAGGGTGGAGAGCGGGACGGACGGCCGCCGTCTTGCTTGTGAACCTGGCCACCCGGCGGCAGCCTTGCGATGCACCTCGCAGGCCTCGCTTCCCCCCCCATGGACCGGGGGGGTTATCCCGGTCCCCATCGGAGGGAAACACCGCCCTACAAAGGCCCTACATCAGGCCTACCTGGAGTTACGCGCTACGAACCAGGGCACTAAAATGGCGGCGCCACGATCTGCAATGGATGACGCAACTTCGCCTGTCTGCAGACGGAACCACCTTGCTGAGCATCACCCCTACCGAACAAGCCTGCACACAATCCTGCCTTCCAGCTACATGGCGAGGGGGCTGGGGCTGGAGATGGAGGGCAGAGTCGGCATGAGGGGCCCACGGAAGCTCCACTCACTCTATGTCCCTGAGGTCGCGTCTGAAAAAGACTGATCGAAGAGGCCCACCAGCGGCACTAGTGGTAACCTTGCTAGACTACTGACCCAAGCCGATACCACAGCAACACTGCCCATTGACTACCCTCAACGCCCCCACACAACTAGACACCGCTAACCGAGATGCAACTTGCCTCCAACACGAGACTCTTATGCATAGTCCCCCATGACTCATCAGGAGGGCTAATACCAGTCTCGGACTTACCGACTGCAGCACTCTGTGGATTGTAGCATGTATAGGGGCAGATCTATCCATGGTGATTTTAGTCACTCACCACAGCATGTCATACCGCTATTTTAATTAAGCTCTTCTCTAGCTGCTAGCCTATGCCAGGAGCTTCGTTGGTAAGCGATCCCACATTTATAAACTAGCTTATCTGCCCATGTTGAAGCATGCTACTCCTATCACTTAAACATACCAACTGTGCAAGTACTTAAAGCATGTATCCAGTAAAAAGCAAAAACAGAATATAGTGCTTGCATATAGCCTTATCTATGTACCTATTTTATGAAAAAGGTACATTGCCTAGCGAATACCCTACCTGATATCTATCTATGGTTTAAGCTTGTTCATATAATATAAAATGAGGTTGACAATCCTAGGAGAATTCTGTAATATGTTACGATGACCCTAATCTGTACAACTCTTGCAAGTCTCCCTCTCTTTTTTCTGTACCACCATAATCAAATGCCTCAAAAAAATAAAGAATTCAAAAAAAATAAACATGCAGATTCACAGACACACAGATACAAACAATGATACACACATACAGACATACATATAGACACACATGCAGATACATAAACACACAGATACAAACATTGACACAGATGCAGATACACAGACACACACAATGACACATGCAGATGCATAGACATACAGATACAATCACTGACACACATTCAGATACAGACACACAGATACAAACACTGACACACTTGCAAATACACATGCTGACACACATGCAGATACACAGATACACTGTGTATCAGTAAATCTGTATCTGAATGTGCCAGTG